GCAGACACCCCTTCTACTGACCCATCTATTGGATGGCTCCATTCTATAGGTGGGGAGCTGCACCTGCTGGAAACCGGGTCCAGCGTCCCATCACATCATAAATCCGAGCCGTAACACATCATATGTTGTCCTTAGTCAATCCCGCCCTTATTCAATCCCCAATCCCCTATTCCCATGCCCTTCAGCCCATTACATTGTGAAACAGAGACATAACACTTCATAGCGCGTCATTTAGTTGGTCAGCCCATATCCTATCCCCAGTCCCCCTACCCTTCAGCTCATCCTTTTGCCATGAAAGGTCTCCGAATGTTATTGGCCCACTACAGGGGCTCCTTGTAGCATACGTTCACCAAGCCTGCCCCATATTTGTCGGGAGGCCAACCAGTGCCTGTGCCGTGACCAGAACTTTGCTATACCTCCGGCATCCCATATCTGACAACATGTGTCAATCTCTTGGCCCCTTCCAACTGCAGCGCCTGGTTCCTGTGACCTATTGACCTCTTGCAGCTGAAGACGCTGTTACTGGCGCAGTCCATATTCTTGGAGTCACATCGTCCCCCTGCTTAAGCCGCATGATAGTGATTGTGGAGGGGCAGGGTCGTGGGAAGGTAGGAGAGCATGACAGGGGACCGAAAAGCAAGCGGGGCAGGACGGGAGGGGATAGTAATGGATAGACCCTTGTACCCAGGGACAGGGGGGGACGTGTCAATGCAGTGAAAGTTCAGGGGACAAGCGCAAAATTGGTCGGGAGAAATGGGACTGCAAAGTCGCCCAGTGGTTTCCTTTGCCTGGCCAGCTCTCCTTCCCTCCAGGGTTTCCATTATATGGTAAGGTCGTCTTGGATTTTAGAGAAGACACGGTGGGGATCCTACCAGATCTGCCGATACGCCTCCCGAATAGTCACCTTGAGGGCGGCGTCTTTTTCAGCATGGTGCTCTTGTTTCATGTCCTTCCAGGCATTTTGAGTGCGGGATCTGATTTCCTTTTCTATTTCCTGTTGTGATTTCTGAAGCCCAAATTGGTGATCTTTTCTCTCGTAAGAGCACCTTGCCCTCCAGGCTTGCATTCGAACATGCAACCTCATATACGTAAAGAGATTTGTGGCAAAGGGGGTCCAGTGTATGAGGCCCAAGTCCCAAGGAATATGCTGGTCCGTGAGCGAATGGAACGCTGCATCCCACCATCTCCATATCTGGGCAGCCATTGGGCATGCCAGAAGGCAATGTTCAAGGGTTGCCCTGGCAGGCTGTTTCATCCTACCACAGTAGGTGCAGATTGGGGACGTCTTGACGCAGATTTGTAGCGATCTTGCGGGCATATCGAAATTTGATGATAGCCCAACTTCAAGTCCAACTTCGAAAAATACTTTGCGCCACCCAAACGCTCAAGAAGTCCAACTGACGGTTTGTGCGTTGAGTTTGCGATAGTCGATGCACAAGCAAAGATCCTTGTTCTTCTTCCGTACAAAGAGAATCGGCGCACCATATGGTGAGCTGATCCAACCCTTCTCCAACAAATCATCAAGTCGCGCGCGGAGAACCGCGAGCTCTTCCTCGCTCATGCGATAGATGCATCCTTTTGGCGGCATGGCACCGACCTCATGGGAGGTTGGTCGATCTGGCACCACACCGGTAAGAGACTCGAAGATGTCGGTGAACTCGTCAAGCAACCGCACCACACGAGCGTTCGAGGACAAGTCCGTGGGTGAAGAGTCGGCTACCACGACGGTTCGAAGAAAACATAGGTCAATCTCGTCGGTCGACTCGTAAGCATAAGTGGCCCGAAAGGACTTGGCTGTCACAAGTTGGCACCGGATCGAAGGGTGCCGAAGAGGGATAGTACACAGTACCTTCTGGACTTTCCTGGGACATGCTGCAAATTGGACTTGGAACTATCGGCTTGGACTGGACTCTTCTGGACTTTTCTTGTCAAGTACCGGACGGACTTCTACTGACCCTACAACGCTTTAGACTACAGACCCTACGGCCTATCCTATTGGGGCAGCCTGGGACTAGGACACTTCGGGACTCTAAAAAAAAAAAAAAGAGGTTTTTTTCCACCACCTTCTAACATAAATTACACTCGCCATTTTTCCCTTCCTAGATCGAAAATAGCTTTATTATGTTCATTTGCTAGCAGCGGGATTGCAACTCATGAGATTTGGTCATTTATTTCTCATTTGATCCCATCAGGCTTCAAACTCATGCTCTGTTTACTAAACATCACATGTGGCTGCACGGTACACATGATGGCCCTTTTAGACATGGTGTGGTGACAAGTGCAGTGAGGCCCCATTGCAGAGGTGTTGTTGGGTAGATGAAGCTGACACTGGTTTTTGTTGAGGTGTGCAGTTTGTAAACATATCCTTTATACATGATTCTCCAATCATTTGTGTACTCGAATGCAAACTACGGGGTTCGCCACGAGACTCTTGAAATCAAGGAATTCGGGAGCACTTGCTTCACCATATACCTCCAAACCGTCGAGAGGCATCCAACGATTTGAAGAGGCTGCTTTCGAGAGTTTTAAGCTCACAATTTGAGAGGCTGTTTTTTTCCCCACAGTTTTGGGCTCTTCCCCACACTACTCTCGAAGCAGCCACATTATGTAGATGGGGGTTGCTCTTGCTTGGAACTGAGAAAGACAAAGGACGGTCTAGGAGGGGTTCGGGCCGGATTTCTCTTGAAAAACGAGAGAGCTCTCAGAGCTGGATAGAGCACTCTCAAAATCAGGCCTGTGGCAAACTGGGAGTGTGTGTGTGAGTGGGTTGTGTGCGGTGTGTGGTGTGTGGTGTGTGGTGAGTGGTGTGTCGGAGAGTGTTGGCCTTAGACACTGCTGTTAGTCCATAGGGGTGGGGGAAGATGAAAAGGGAGGTGCAGCTACTGGCAAAACGCTAGGTCTTTGTGCTACCCAAGGCCCCACCCTGGCAAGGGGCAACATGTTATTCCCTCATTGTGAGGTGGCTATGCTTGCAGGGGTTTCCTGTATAGCGTTAGGAGTAGTGATAGGTAGGTAGTGAAAGGTAAATTGAGAGAAGAATATAGCTTATACTGGCCTTATAGTTTGAAAGAACAGGAAAAAAAGGGGATATCGCCACTGACATTAGTGTGTCCCATCTGGTTCGATCAGGTTTCGAACTCATGTTTTGTGCCCATCAACAGTTACATGTGTATACCAGTCAGCCACATGATGAAGGTGGCTCGACTACCGTCTTCCCCTGAACACAATGCACCCTGATCATAAATGCGTACAAGATAACCCTCCTGACATGATGACGGTGCCTTGTGGTAACCCATTTTAACCCACTTTCATTAATTAAATAACATAGCACAGAGTAGCCCAACATCCCTGCTAGGGTCATCGAATAGCACAGGAGCTAAGTCCCCTTTCGGGGGGGTTTAGGATTGGTCGTGTCCGCACAAATTTCTGCCATCCCATCTGAACATCTCACAGCCACACTCTGGCAACGTTGGAAAATACTCGATATGAAGCCTAAGCCCCCACCTAAGCCCCCATCAGTCGGATGCAGTGTCCGCACAGATTCCTATCATCCCATCTGAACATCTCACGGCCACACTCTGGCAACGTTGGAACAACCCCACCTAAGCCCCCACCAGTCCGACGCAGGGTCTCCTTACTTCTTGAAAAGCCGTTTTCAAGGGCCCATGAAACGAAATCCTTGAAACCAAAGTGAAAACGGTCTAGAACTAGTCCTCGAAACTCGAGCATTCCCCAGCCTAAGGGCATACTCACAGGAGTACGTTTTTGCTTATTTATGGGCATAATTGCGGTCAGATGCATCCACATTCCGGCCGTAAATGCAGTTAGATACATTTAAGCTAGAGCTAGTGTGAGTACATGCAATGACTTGCTGATTTCTGCTGCCGAGTTTGTCTGCGAGGCTGTACACTAACCGTACGGTTAGATTCGCAATTTTGTTTGGCTGGGGACTAACCGAGTGACTTGCCTGTTGGGAAATTCGCGAGGGACAGGCCTGTAAATTCTGAGGGACTACAGGCCCTAAACTAATCGAATCCCTACTACTACCCTAACTGCCTATCGCAGGCCCAGGCTACCCTAGGACAGACCAGCCCTAAGCGGCCTATACTGGTATACAGTCCTATAGCCTATAGCCGGGTCCGGTAGAGGTCGGGAGGCCGAGAAACAGCAATGGTACCGGTAGGTCCAGTCGGTTCACTTTCGGTCTAGGCTAGTGTAGGAATCTATAAGTCTAGGAAGGAAACTAATAGGAGGACTTTTGGCTTTCATTTTTTCGCAGGCAGCGTTGGTGGCCAACCAAGTTGAGCAGCGCTGAATGTCTGCAGTGGCACCGGAGACATCAGCCGTGAGTGGAGCAGCCATAGCCCGCCACCTGAGACAGCCATAGCTGGGGCTGTACTCAGCGCATCTATCCCCGGGGGAATATCTGCGTTGGCAGGACTATCTGGGAGGTCTTCACAGAGTACATGTGGGTACTGCTGCTGCGGTAGCAGCCACGCAGCCATAGCTGTCTTCTTCATCGGCACTGGAGGCTACTTCGCTATTCATGATCTGCATCTGGGTGTATGGCGCTGGCCTCTGGGAGGCTATTTCTGTGCAGCGCTAGACTCTGAGAGTGTGGTAGTGAGTGGAGTGTGTGGTTCCTGAGTGGCGAGATACTGGGTTGAACTCTGTTACGATAATTGAGGTTAACTATGTTGAGTTGGCTCATCATCTGGGTTACTTTCCAATTGTGATCTTCGCAGTGTCAATTGTGATTGGTTGTTGGGAGTGTGTCAGGGAGAGAGAAACACTGAGTGTATTCTCCCCTTCTGTGCATAATTGCTATTCCGCTGTTTATCTCTGATCTGTGTGCAGTGGACCCTGTCTCCTTCTCCCCTTTGTCTCATGCATGTATGAGCGTGTGTGAGTTCTTCTCAGTGAGAGTGGCAACCAAATTGTCAGACAACCAAGTTCATAACAGTTGGTATCAGAGCGAAGATTGGACTTGGAGCTTAGAGGGTTGAGCGCAACAGGGGCAACTTCTCTTTCTGGCCCTGACTGGTGAGAAGTGCCATGGTGGTTCTTCTTCTTCAGTGAAGACCCAGTGGAAGAGAAGACAGACAAGCGGTGATTGCAGGGCATCAGTTTGCGATTGATCAGGCACCCTGAGCCTGTCTGAGTGCCTGACAGGAAGTGGCGAGAATAGGGTCATTTCGCCATCCACCCTCCTGACCACAGTTGATGACTGGGTCTAGGGTGGCAAAATTTACCCTAATCCAGTGATTACTGGGTGGCGGCTTCATTCCCAGTGTAGCGCTGAGGGAGGATGGATCGCAGGATCACCTCCTGCTAAATTAACCCTACTCAGGGCTAAATTTAGCACCAGCGGCACATACCCTGCAGTGGCGAGATATCTTCAGGAGAGTTTTCTCTCGCCACTGGGGCAGATTCAGTGTATCTGAGAGTTGGGGGTGAATCGCCTCATCATACTGGACATGATCAACAAGTTTCAAGAGATTCTGTACGTGGGAAGCTCTGGAAGACTGTCTGAAAGTACTGGCAAGACCAGGGTTTAGCAGCCATAGCCAAAGCTTCATCATCCACTGAGGGTTGTACTTCAAGTGAGTTCGTTCCACACGAATCCCTGAGCAGCGATTAGTATAGGATTAGTAAAAATAGGATTGATGGTCTGTCTGTCAGTACTGCAACAATCGTGAAATTGTCAGACTGCAGGACAGCCATATCCATCTTCTTCCTCCCTACCCTGACTCATATCTCTTCATCTACTGACCTGTTCCGACTCCAAATTGTTCTGGGACTGCTTTACAGTATTGCGCTGCATCCTGTATGCTCATTCTGTGAATTCTATACTGAAAAGACAGTGATACTGTGGATTTGAGTTTTGCGTTGGGTCTATTTATAGTCTAGGCTACCTAGGGTCAGTCACAACTCAAAATCTGACCGTCAGAATTCAAGTCTGTCAGTCTGGGGTGAATCGCAATTCTATTTTTAGCAACCCTGCTAAAGCGCTAGTCCAGAAACACTGTATTTGGGTCATTACAGTACATTCCTGAAATTCGCCATATCAGGGGTGATTTCTGTTGATGTCAACACTGGTGAAATTTGAGTCTGGGGTTGTCAGGGAGTAGTTTACTAAATTGCTACTACTTGTTGCTGTGTTTCAGTCAATTCTTGCCTACCCTTATCAATACTACTAACCTACTCTGCTTTCTGATGGGCTCTGGAATCCTAGTGACCCCAGGAATGTTGTGAAACTGCATGTTGCAACTTCAATAAAAGTTCAGTGTCAGGTATAGGAAATCGTTAGCAAATGGTTTTACTGGACACCCTGTCAACCTGATTACTGACCGCAGTGGTCCTGTTCCAACCCTAACTGCTTGTGCCCACTAACCCACATTGCTCTGTGAACTGACAGTGCAGCGAAATTTGGGTGTCTGATTGAGCTGTAAATCTCTGCACCCCCTGCTATTTCATTTTTGTTGTATTGTTGTTTGGTGAGGGAAAATGTCTGACGCAGCTGACACAGGTGCAGGGAAGGTTGAGGTCGTGATTAAGGCTGAAGGGGAACCCTTAGCCACAACACCTCCCTCTCCTCTGACCCCTGCGCAGCGGCGCAAGAGAGAGATCCAGGAAAAGTTGTGAGAGCAACAGGCGCTGCTCGCAGAAGCAGAGAGGCAAGAAGCTGCAGAGCTGGAAGCTGCAACAGATGCTTCCAGAAAAGAGCACCTGCTGCAGCAGGCTCAGAAGACTTTTGCGGACGCTAGAGTGGCCCAGTGTACCAGGGACCTGGCTGAGCTGGTATTGTTACAAGACAAGCTTACAGCCAGCCATTTCACAAACTGGGACGAAAGGATCCAGAGGCTGCAGACCAGAGTGTCTGATCTGGGAACTCAACAGTCTAAGATCTTGGATGCCATCCAAAATCTGACTGCTCAGTTAACAGCAGCCAACCTGATCTCTCCTTTGGTCCCTGTGGGCCCCTCTCCTAGACCCCCAAAGCCTTCTCAGCCTTCCTCTTCACCTCCTTCCTCTCCTCACTCTTCTCGTAAGTCTTCTCCCTCTGTCTCCTCCCAGGCCAAAGCCACACCTCCTCCCACCTTTGTTGTTGTAGTTGCTGGGGACCACAGAGGTCCCAAGATATCTGCCCCCAGCAAATTCAAGGGGGATGACCCCAAGACTGATGTGGGGGACTGGACCGCTGGAACCCGGGCCTATCTGAAGGGGTTCCAATGTCCAGAGCAGCAAAAGGTGGCCACCGTTGTGGGGTTGCTGGAGGGGCCTGCCCAGAAATGGGCTACCTCTACAGCAAGTGCCCAGAGCCAGACTTTGGAGGACTGGGCATTGGCACTGGGGGCTGACAAACTTCTGCAGGCCCTGGAGGACAGGTTTGCAGACAAGGAACGTGCCCGTAAGGCTGCTGACAAGATCGTACGCCTTGGACAGCAACGTTACAGCGGCAGTCTGCAGGCCCTTTTCGCTGAATTTGAGCAGCTCACCTCCACCCCTGGATTGGTTATGTCTGTTGATGATCTGCTGACTAGCTTTTGCGAGGCTGCGCCTGAGAAGTTCTCAGTCGCTTTGTATAGCGCCGGGCATAAAGACTGGCGCTCACTTGGACGTGCAGCACTGGACATGGAGGCCAAGCTCCATGTTCAGGCCCCCTCCAGTAACAAGAGGAAAGGCGCCTTCCCTCGCGGTGGTAGAAAGGGAAAGGCAGCCTTTGCCTACGCGGGTTCTGGATCATCATCTGATGCAGGATCCCGGCCTGGTACACCGCCAGGTGGGACTGCAGCAGCTGCTGTTCCAGATGTTGCAGCAGTTGTCCAGCAGTTGCAGGCTGCGCTGGGGGCCTTTCAAAAGGCCGGGTCTCCCTCCAGCACACCCTCCAGCAGCAAGGGGAAGAGCCCGGGATGTCGCTCTTCAACCCCTGCCCGACGCCCTAATTTGCCACGTGACGTCCGCTTTCCTGCAGACCCCCTCAACCCCAACACCCTTCCCTGGCATGATTTGAAGATACAGGAAGGGGTGTGGAGGAAGAGGAAGGAAAAGGGGGTCTGATTGAGGTGTGAGGGGCCGCACTTTTTGAAGGACTGTCACTACATGCCAAGCCCAGCTCAGTCAAAAAACTGAAGCTAAACCTGGAGACAGCAGTTCCCTCCAGTGCTGCAATTGCATCTGCAGCTGCAGCAGCTTCAGTTGAGACTTCTTCCTTCCCATCCGGAGTGGGAGCTGCACGGGCAGCATCCTTCACATATGAGGATCCTGACCCGGATCAGGAACCGGACCAGTCTGAGTGTCAGGCTCTTGCTGCTTTTTTCTTTCATTTGAGAGAACAAAAGCAGAACAAGTCTGATCTCATCCTGCTTCGGCCCCTGATCAACCATCGCAGGATCAAAGGGCTATTAGACTGCGGGGCCACTCGCAACTTCATGTCTCCCAGTGCAGTCCAGAAACTGCATTTGGGCATGAAAGTGGTGCAGTTGCACCAACCGCTGCAGGTCCGCATAGGGGACTCCACTGTTCTTACCATCAGGGAGAAGGTCAGGGGTATCCCTGTTACCTTCGACACTGCTGGAGAAGTCAGACATAGTCTGAACTTCTACATCTTCCCTGACCTACCCTTTGACCTTGTGTTTCAACCCAAGGATCGACTGGCAAATCCCCAAGGTTGAACTGCCAAACAGCAAGGGGGTATATCAGCCTTGTATGCTTGCAGCTGATTACCACCCTCAGACCTCTTGCTTCTGCTTGAGAGCGAGAGAGTTCTATACTCTCTCTAGCCAGTATGATCATGAGCGGTTGTACATCACTCTGGTCAAGCAGACAGACGCTCCCTCTACTCCCTGCCCTCCTGAGATACAGCAGGTTGTGGACCAATATGCTGTTCTGATGCAGGAGCCATTTGGGTTACCCAACCAGCCAACCAAGCATCGTATTGAGCTGCTGCCTGGAGCGGTCCCTCCCAAGGGCCGCATCTACAGGATGTCACCTGTTGAGCTTGAGGAGCTCAGGCGACAGCTTGAGACCCTGACCAGCAAGGGTTGGATCAGGCCCAGCACTTCTGAATTTGGTGCCCCAGTCCTCTTTGTTCCAAAGGGGAGCGGCGAGTTCAGAATGTGCATAGACTACAAGGGTCTCAACAAGATCACTAGGAAGAGCACAGAGCCACTTCCTAGGATCGATGACCTTCTGGATATGGTCCAGGGTTGTACCATTTTCAGCAAAGTCGACCTCAAATCTGGCTATCACCAGATTGAGATGGCAGAGGAAGACGTCCACAAGACGGCTTTCAAAACCAGGTATGGTACTTACGAGTACCTGGTGATGCCATTTAGACTTTGCAATGCCCCTGGCACGTTCCAGACTGAGATGCACCGCATATTTCAGGCCGTACCTGGATAAGTTTATGGTTGTCTACCTGGATGATATCCTGGTATTCAGCAAAACTACCAGGGAACATGCGGAGCACCTGGCTCTAGTCCTTCAGTCGTTACGTGACAGCCAGTACAAGATCAACAAGGAGAAATCCTCTTTTGGAGTTCCGTCTGTTATCTACCTGGGTCATGTAATCTCTGGAGATGGTTTGGCCCCTGAAGCAGCCAAGGTTGCTGCTATTCAAGATTGGCCACAGCCTCAGACACTGAAAGATGTCCGGTCATTCTTGGGTCTGGCCTCCTACTACAGAAAGTTCGTCAGGAACTTTTCTGCTGTGGTTGCACCCCTGACCAACCTCACGAAGAAAGACACTCCCTTTCTTTGGTCCCTCCACTGTCAGATGGCCTTTGCACGACTCAAACAGGCCTTGACTCGTGCACCTGTTCTGAAGTTGCCTGACCCCACTCTGCCATTTGTTCTCACCACTTACGCCAGTCAGTATGGCATTGGGGCAGTCCTTCAGCAGCATGATGGTAATGGTCTGAGACCTGTAGAGTTTATGAGTAAGAAGATCAAAACTCAGAAGCTTCAAGACTCTACCTACGAGAAAGAGCTATATGCTCTTGTCAGTGCCCTGAAACATTGGAAGCACTTTCTCCTGGGCAGGCACTTCAAGATCTTTTCTGATCACTCCACCCTGCAGTGGTTGAAGTCCCAGGGAGAGTTGAATGATAAATTGGCACGCTACATCCAGTTCATTGATCTGTTTGACTTTGAACTGAAGCATAAGAAGGGCAGCTACAACAAGGTAGCAGACGCCCTCTCTCGTAGGCCTGACTCCTTCGCGTTGATCTCCTCTACTCACTCCTTTGGAGAGGAGGTCCGTCAGACCATCGCTCGTTTGCTGGCTCAGGATCCGACTTATGGACCCATCGTCAGGAATCTGCGAACAGATCCTAATTCTGAACCTGGTTATGCCCGGAGTTCAGATCTGCTGTATACTTACAGCAGAGGAGAGGAGCGCTTGTGCATCCCTGAAGATCAGCAGTTGAGGACACTGCTGATGTCAGAGTGCCACGACGCGCGTGGACACTTTGGGTTCCTAAAGTCATATGCAGCCCTGTCGCAGCACTTCTTCTGGAAAGAGATGCGGAGTGATATGCTGCGCTATGTGGACACCTGTGAGCTCTGCCAAAGGAACAAGGTTCAACGTAAACCTCCTTTGGGATTGCTCAAACCTTTGCCCATACCTGATGGTCCTGCCCAGTCTGTGTCATTGATTTCACAGACTTAGGCAAGACTACCCCTCGTGGCATGCGTCAGGTCATGGTCTGCGTGGACAGGTTCTCCAAATACGCAGAGTTCATCCCCTTGCCAGAGGTAGCCAGGGTACCGGATGTGAGAGCAGCCTTTTCTGAGAGGTGGGTCACACACCATGGACCGCCCACCTCTATTGTGAGTGATCGAGACCCCAGATTCAGCAGCGATGAGTGGCAATTCTACTGCAAGGACTATCTGCACTGACGCCTGGACATGACTTCTGGTCGTCATCCTGAAGCCAATGGATTGGCTGAGGTGATGAACCAGGTCCTGTTCCAGTTGCTACGTCCTGTGATCTCTCCTGATCAGCAGGATTGGGATCTCCACTTGGCGAGGGCACAACTCATGTATAACATGTCTGTCCACTCCTCGACAGGGTTCAGTCCCTACCGGTTACATTCGGGACGTGAACCACGACAGCCTCTCGATGATATCATCGATAAGGCTAAGCCTGACCTTACCCCAGGCACTGCAAAGTTCGCCAGACGTTATCGTCTGGATGTGGAAAGAGCCCGGGCGAACTTGTTCAAGGCCCAAAAGGCCATGATTGAACAAGCCAACCGCCACAGGCGGCCTTCCCCTATCCGCATTGGTGACTATGTCTGGGTGGCCAGTTCTGAGTTGCCGAGGGAGGAGGATATTTCTCCCAAGYTGTTGCCACGCTACCTGGGTCCGTGGCAGGTYYTAGATACAGTGGGMGCTGATCCTTTCGGCCCATCGTATGTCATTGACGTGCCCCTGCATCTACGAACCTATCCGGTCTTCCATGCATCTAAGCTGCTGCCTTTTATGCCAGTTGATGCATTCCCTGACCGGCCCCCTCAATGGGGCCCACCAATCCCTGGTAAGGGATATGATGTGGTGGACATTGAGGATGAGTGGGGCACTGGCCCCGACCGACAGTATCTTGTCAGGTTTGCGTTCCAGCCTCCTTCTGAGAACCGATGGTTCTATAGAAGAGATCTGATCAAGACAGCAAAGTCTGGAGTTCTGCGGTATGAGGCGGCTCAGAAGGGTGACCTTCGCCGCTCACCTCGTCTGCACCCCTAGCTCGGAGGTCCTCGCGCCCGGGGTGGGTAAACCTGCAATGACTTGCTGATTTTTGCTGCCGAGTTTGTCTGCGAGGCTGTACACTAACCGTACGGTTAGATTCGCAATTTTGTTTGGCTGGGGACTAACCGAGTGACTTGCCTGTTGGGAAATTCGCGAGGGACAGACCTGTAAATTCTGAGGGACTACAGGCCCTAAACTAATCGAATCCCTACTACTACCCTAACTGCCTATAGCAGGCCCGGGCTACCCTAGGACAGACCGGCCCTAAGCGGCCTATACTGGTATACCTGTCTCTTATACACATCTAGATGTGTATAAGAGACAGGCTCACAGGCCCTAAACTAATCGAATCCCTACTACTACCCTAACTGCCTATMGCAGGCCCRGGCTACCCTAGGACAGACCRGCCCTAAGCGGCCTATACTGGTATACRGTCCTATAGCCTATAGCCGGGTCCGRTAGAGGYCGGGAGGCYGAGAAACAGCAAYGGTACCGGTAGGTCCAGTCGGTYCASTTTCGGTCTAGGCTAGTGTAGGAATCTATAAGTCTAGGAAGGAAACTRATAGGAGGACTTTTGGCTTTCATTTTTTCGCAGGCAGYGTTGGTGGCCAACCAAGTTGAGCAGCGCTGAATGTCTGCAGTGGCACCGRAGACATCAGCCGTGAGTGGAGCAGCCATAGCCCGCCRCCTGAGACAGCCATAGCTGGGGCTGTACTCAGCGCATCTATCCCCTGGGGGATATCTGCGTTGGCAGGACTATCTGGGAGGTCTTCACAAAGTACATGTGGGTACTGCTGCTGCGGTAGCAGCCAGGCAGCCATAGCTGTCTTCTTCATCGTCAGASTGACTCCTCGGCACTGGAGGCTACTTCGCTATTCATGATCTGCATCTGGGTGWATGGCGCTGGCCTCTGGGAGGCTATTCCTGTGCAGCGCTAGACTCTGAGAGTGTGGTAGTGAGTGGAGTGTGTGGTTCCTGAGTGGCGAGATACTGGGTTGAACTCTGTTACGATAATTGAGGTTAACTGGGTTGAACTCTGTTACGATAATTGAGGTTAACTGTGTTGAGTTGGCTCATCATCTGGGTTACTTTCCAATTGTGATCTTCGCAGTGTCACCTATGATTGGTTGTTGGGAGTGTGTCAGGGAGAGAGAAACACTGAGTGTATTCTCCCCTTCCGTGCATAATTGCTATTCCGCTGTTCATCTCTGGTCTGTGTGCAGTGGACCCTGTCTCCTTCTCCCCTTTGTCTCATGCATGTATGGGCGTGTGTGAGTTCTTCTGAGTGAGAGTGGCAACCAAATTGTCAGACAACCAAGTTCATAACATACACCCTAAAAGTTGATTCCCCAGCCAAAAAGTTCCGATTTCTCAAAGAAGCTCACAAAGTTACTTCACAAATTCAAGAACAGCCGAGTGGAGAGGGCATCCTTCAAATTTGATTCACGGTGGCGTTGCCCTATTGGTTAACAGCCTGAAGCACAAGTTTTTTTCTTCGTCCTTTTTTTTTTCAACTACAACTTTCTCAAGGATTCATCCCCCCACGGCCCTCGCTCCACTACTCACCCGTGTATCTTTTCCATATTCTAGCGGAAGATTCATTCTCATTTTGCACATTTGGTGAGCAGTGGAGTGAGGCCCCACTACACAAAAAATCCTCGAACCGGCGAGAACTTTCTAAGGACTCGTCCTTGAAACTCGAGGAATTTTAAAGAGTGGACCCTCAGCCCAGAGAGCAGAACTTGAACCCCTAGCCTGTGGAACGATTGTACGTCAGGAGTATACCAGGGCCTCACTCCACTACTCACCAAATATGCTGAAAGAGAATGAATCTTCCAATAGAACATAGGAAGATACACCGACATACTTTGTCTTTTGTGCATGTGGAGAGAGCGACGCCCTAGGACAACCATTCAGTTATATGTCAGTAGCCCGTGGAGCAATTTTTTTTTTCTTCTTTTTTTCTCTCCTTTGTCAAAAGGGCGACGGCCTTGAGATATGAGCTGACCTGCCCCCATGCAATTCAGGGCCTCGCCACAGCACTCCCAGATCGGAGAAAATTTTTGAGAGTGCTCTCGAGTCTTGAAACTTGTGGAATCGCGTTGGAGAGTGCCCTTCCCCACGCTGGGCTCTCAAACGGGGCGCTATATATTTCGAAATTGTCAGAAGCGGCTTCCCAACAAGAGCCATCTGGCATCAAACTCTTGTCCTTCACGGTCCACTTGGGATTTTCTAAAAACCGAGCTCAGAGGTCGGCCCCAGGTGTCAAAAACGGCAATTTGCAGGCAGGCACTGAAAGGAACCTGGAGAGTACTCTCGAGCCCACTTCTGTGAGAGCTCTCCAACTCACTTTCGGGAGCTGAATCCGAGGGCATACGTGGCGATGCTGGCACTCGTGAAAACACCGGTAGTGGTGTCGCAAGGCCCTCAGAATTACTCTGATTGCACCTGGAGCAGTGCGCACATCGTACATCGGTAGTAGTACACAATTCATATTGTACGCAGATAGTAGTACGCAATTCAGCCACGTGACCCGGTTGTACGTGGGTAGTAGCAGCATTCGGCCACACGTCAGTAGCATGTGGAACTATTGTACGTTGGTAGACCAACAGGCGTAGCTCAGTTGGTACACCCATGAACTGTTGACATACAGACCTGAGCTCGAATCCTGATGGAACCGGATGGATGAAATAAAGATACTTCTCAATTACCCGGGGCTGGTCGGAAAAAGGAAAAAAGAAGGGATTGTACATTGTTAGCAATACAGTTCAGCCACGTGTAAAAAGGCTGTGGACCTACTGTACGTGCGTATCGTTCAGCCACGTGCCAGTGCCACGTGTCAGTAGCTCGTGGACCAATGGTATGTATGAGAGTAGCACCATCATAAAGCCACGTGTCAAATGCAGTCACTGCCTTCAGAAGTGTTTTTTGCTTTTTGCTTCAAGAAGGGCAACGGCCTTGAGATATCATATCAAGGCTGTCATTATCATTGACCTGACCGGCCCCAGGTAATTCAGAATGATTGTGTACTGGTCATCTGGTTGTATCTGGATTCAAACTTGGGTCTGTATTTCAACAGTTCGTGGGTGTACCAACTGAGCTCTGCCCGTTGGTGCTTTCAGAAGTTGCAAGGCAGGACCATCATCTCTAAAATAAATCAAGATAAGTTCACTAACAACAAAAACAAACAAACAGCTAGGGGAGGAACGACTGCCAATAAACGAGGGCATACTCTTCCTGCATGTATCTGACCCCAAAGATAGCAGTGAAACGGTTTTCACCTTAGCAGTAGCAGATGCAGATCCCAGGGCTCGATCCCTAGACCTTACCACACCCATGTACAGTATTGACTCGACCCCTGTGTGTTTGAACCCGTGACCTGTGTTTTAGTAGTTGACTGTTGCTTGTCGTAGGTCTGTGTAGCTGTAGGGGTTCGATCTGTAGATCTGTGTGTTTGAACCCGTGACCTGTGTTTTAGTAGTTGACTGTTGCTTGTCGTAGGTCTGTGTAGCTGTAGGGGTTCAGTCTGTAGATCTGTCGACTAGGGGTCATAGTTGTGTAGAGGCTGTAGCTGTAGCAATTCTGAAAGGTCAAGGTCGTAGCTGCTACAGTCCTGAAAGGTCAAGGTCGTAGCTGCTACAGTCCCGAAAGGCCAAGTCCACAGACTTCCGGAAGGTCCGGAAGTGGCCTTTCAAGTTTTTCTCACGTTATTCACAGCAGACCAGAGGCAAGTGGGCAAGTGGTGAGTCCAACTTCGGTTAGTGAGCGGTACCCAGTCCCAGTCTCACTTTGTACAGTCAGCAAGTGCCATGAGGGACTGTGTGCACCATGGGCCGGTGGAAAAGGGCAGACCAGCGACTTATGGAAGTATAAATCAAGAGGCAGCGTCCAGCCATTCATTGATTCCTGCGTGAGCCATGCGGAAGCGCTGCCATAGCGTCTTGTGCGAGGTGGTCTGCAGATGCCTGAGGTCGAAGTGGGCTGAAGGG